CATCCTTGTGCCGTGCTGGACCCCCTCCGCAAGATCGGCCCTCGACCCACTCTCCACGCTATTATGCTTTCCCGACGAGAGAGAGAGAGAGAGAGAGAGAGAGAGAGAGAGAGACGGAGCGTCGCGACGGGCCTCATTAGCCCAAATGGCTATCCACGATCGAATTCCACCTCTGCTGATTCCCGGCCATTACTGTTGCACTCCCAGCAGGGATTATCGCGGGATTATCCGCGTCTCGGCGCGCATTCCTTTACGAACTGCACACGAGGAAAGGGGTTCGCGCCATCGCATTGGACCTCCGACAATTGGGCTGCAGTTCGCACGTCTGCCCTGGGCACTTTATCCGGGCCAGGACCATTAAAAATGCCCGGCCGACAGCTCGCCCGGCTTATAGCGCATCTACGGTCGTACCCTTTACGAGACTATCCGCTCGCGCGAATATTTCCAGGCCCACGCATCCCTTAATCCAATATAATTTACTCGGCACCTCTCCCCCTACCCCTCCCCACCACTCGCCCCACCCATATCCCAAATCGCCAATCTTCGAGTCCACCCTTGACTATACGTTTACGCGCGCCTGATTATTTCCCAATTAATATATTTTAAGGATAGGCGTTCGTCATTCTGTTTGTATTGTAAAAGCAGCTCGTGTCTCTTTATCAGCAAGGTTTTATTTCTCTAGACGGTTACAATGCACGACGGGAAGCGCGCGCTGATATTACGAGCGAGGGATCGATAAAATAATTACGAGAGCTATTACGATTCACGGAGAAATGAAGCCGTAATTATTAATCGGACGTTTAATAATTTAAGGAGCCGCGAGGAGAAAAATTACGGCCATAGCTCGCTCTCCTATCTTGGCAAATTTCACTTAAATCTCATCGGAAAAATTTACTTTTACCCGGTGGAAAACCGAGCGACTGCGCCCGCTTCCTCGCGATAATACACCAGCCTGCCTTACATATTTCTCCTCCACCTTTTTCCTCATTTTTCTCTTCATTTTTTTTTTCTTTTTTTTCTACTTTTTTTTTTTTTTAAACTTGATTTTAATGCAGCGTCGTACTAGCAATCTTAATATTTATTAATCGAAAAAACAACAAAAGAAAAAAAGAAGAAAAAAAGAGAGAAAAAAAAACGTAAGAAGCGTAGCGACTAACGAGCACCGACTTGGAGATTAGATATCTCGATGCGAAAGCGAATTTTGTACGTTTTATCTCGTACAAAATAACTATGTAAACAACATAGTTACGTATCCGTTATAAATTATTTTTTACACGCACCTTTGCAGCTCTTCGAGATTTTTCAAGTTATAATGTAACCGAGCGCTTTATCATTCCTTACCCTGCACTTTATTCAATTGTAATTATAACATTTTTGAATAAAGAAAAATATTTAAAATTAAAGTTTCCTTATACTCAGACTTACGAAATGTTTTTTCTACATCTGACGTTCGAAAATTTTTCTTTTACGTCTAAATATATTAGTTAGTCTAGATACATAATAATATTTAGCAAATATTCAAAGCATACACGTAATTTTAAGAAAAAAATTTACTTTAAAAACGACAGGCTAATATATCATTAATTTGTAAAGTTGCGCAATTAGCGGCTTAACTAATTAGAAACAGCTATTTGAAAAATGATTATAAAACGTATATTTATCCCCAAGTTATAATGTGCATTCAATTATCACCATTACCGTCCATTACATCAATGCTATTATTATATCCATAATTTCATAATAAGATATTATTATATTGCTTAATAATATTCTAAACATATATTCTGTTGTAGATAATATGAATGTTTCATGATGTTTTATCAACTTTTTAAATTATTCACATTTCCTTCATATTACGCTAAAACTGTAGCGGGTAAAGAAAAAAAAAAGAGCTTAAAAATATGTAACAAACCAAAAATAGTATTTTTTTTTTTTTTTAAGATATAAAAGTTTGTTTTTTATTTGTTTAATAAAACAAACAATAAACACCGTTCTCCTAGGAGTAGACAATGATGGGCTATTCACTAAACTATGGTATCTGAATTATTGTTATAGCATTAAGCAACTCCATTTTACGGATATATATCAATTAATTACCAATATAACTAATTGTAATGTAACGTGACAATCATTCAATAAAGCGAATGAGCGAGCCAATTTTATTCTTTTTACATTCCTTTTTTTTTTGTTTTTTTTTTGTTTTTTTGTTTTTTTTTTGTTTTTGTCTTTTGTTTTATCATACTTTTCTCGTTTCATCTCATAAACCATTTGATAAGGTGCGATGCACGTATAAGGAATTATAGATCGATAAGGATATTAATATGACTATTAAGCTTTCGTACGAATTCTAATTTTCTTACGCATGTTGTACAATCTTGATCGTGGTTTACGGCTTAAATAAGCGACAATCATAATTCATTGGATCGAATAGGAGAATATGACAATGGACTGTAACAAAGCGCGTGCAAAGAGCCAGAATGTGTAATCGACCATAAAACGTTGAGCGCGATTACGAAACGAAGAATCATAAAGGAAGAATCACACGGATGGCGCGGAGATAAAATGCTCGCGTGGATTTATAGGGATCGCATGCGCGCTTACGGCATTAGCGAGTCAGGTAATTATGGTTTGTTATTGCAAGCGAGCCAAGACGGAATTACGTGGCGGAATTCCGAAAGGAGGGCAACGAGTCAGCCGAGGCAGCCGGGGTCCCTTTCGGGAAAGCGGCAAATCGGCGCGCAAGGATCGGTTAAAAAAACAGGCGATTAAGGCCTCGTGGTCGGGTCCGGGGACGGAGCTACTGTTATTCTACGGGTTACGAATAACAGACAGGCACAGAGAGAGAGAGAGAGAGAGAGAGAGAGAGAGAGCCGGGCCTCGAGTCAAATTTCCCGGGCTCTCGAGTGCGACCACTCGAGCGGAATATCAGGTGCGCCAGGGCTGCGGTCACGTCCGAAAAGCACGCGAATCAGGACTATCGGAGGCGCCGGCGGCCACCCACGCGCACCAGGTAGCAGGCCGGCCGCGCCTCTTTATACGACCCTTATAACTATGACGGGACGCTTTTTATCGAGCGCCAGCTCAAACAGTGCCACCCACGCGATAACCTAATCGCGGCTATGACCGAGCTCCGATAATAAGTCCTTCAAGCCCTCTAGAATCGATGAGATACCCTGAATTTTACGAGCCGTAATTCGATATCGTGACTCCCTCTGTTCTGGTTGCCTCATCAATAATCTTTAATTGCCCCTTCTCTCGCACTCTCCGATTTCACATATAGGCCTTCTTAAATATCATTGCGAAAATAATTTGGCAATTGAAACGCATGTGTGTATTTGAGTCTCGATCGAGCACGTTGCCTCGACTAAACGTCAGGATTGTTAGAAATTTGAATGGAGCTGCACGACGAATGGAGCTCCTCCTCGATATTCAAAATTTACATTCGAATGCCCAAGCATAAGCACTTGCAATAATCAATAATACTAAGGGCACCGGCCTTCTATGTTTTACAATCATTTACAAACTTTGCTAATATAGCTCGATAATTCAAGCACTACAATCAAATGACGAGGAGAATAAAAGGATGAGAGAAAAAAGAGAGAGTATAAGAGACGAATAGAGTAGAAAGAGAAATTTAAATAAATGAAAGAAAATGAAGAAAAAAAGTTAAAAAATAAGAAGAGTAAGATAGGAAATGAAAAGTCGAGACTCGCGTTAAAAATTTTAAATTATTAATAAACAAGAGATAAATATAATTTCGCGCTCTTCGTTCGAATGAGCCTTACCCCTTTCATGTGCAGTAATTTTGTGAATTATCATGATGAATTATTTATTCTCGTGCGCACTTTGACTACAAAGAAACAATATTGCGGCCCATTAATCCAGACGAAAGATAAATATGGCAGATAAAGTACCAACAAGTACTCGTGCCTTTTTGAGTCGATAGCTTATAAGTTGCTTATTTATATAGAAAAGCAGTTTAAGAATTAACGAATGCAATATTTTTGTCAAGTGTTTCGTGTATTTAATTCAAGTGCCGAAACTAATATCATATTATAATTGTCAGGCGTTAGAAATTTGTGATATTCAATTAGTTGTGATAATATTTGTAAAAGTGTAAAGAGAGTAATGACTCTATTGATAAATCACGATAAGATTCAGATGATAGAAAAATCGATTTGTCTTGTGCGACGCGGTGGCTATGGATGTAAGCCTAATAAAGTACTCGAATGCAATTTCGATAGGAAGAAACAACAAGGCACTTGCCACCGTAGAGGATGATTCGTTATTGTTACAGTGCAGCCCGCTGTTTACAGGGACAATATTTTCATTCCGCAAACAATTCGTAGCTCGATAAAGAGCCGGTACAGGTGCCCGCCACGGATCTAACATCGATGCCCCGCGCGCCACCACTCCGCCCATGTATTTACGAATCTCCGTCGACCCTCTTCCTTTCGGCTCCCGGGCTTACTCGTACTCGCGGATCCCGGCGACACGGTCCCGCGAGCGCCTCCCGGGGCGCGAGCCGCGGCTTCGAGTCCCGCCGTAGCGTCGCCACGGCCTCATGTTCCGCTGCTCTCGCGCCGCCACCAGCCGCTAGCTCCGTTCGCGGTCGCGCTTGCGCGGCTCCGCCTTTCTCTCCGGTGTGTTCCGCCCCCGGTCGCCATTGGCCCGACACCACTGCTCCCGTGGCCCATTGGCTGGGGAGTGCGGGCCGCGCGGGGGCGGCGCCGCTTGGGCGCTTACGAGCCCCGATACGGGTGGGGGCTGTTTGAACAAGAGCCGCCGGCTCGAGTGCGCCGGGCTACACTCGCCGCGCGGCCTCCATCCAGGCTCCATCCACGCTGGAGAGCTAGTCCGTGCCCGAGGGGAGAGCGAGAGCGAGAGCGAGAGAGAGAGAGAGAGAGAGCGAGGGAGCGAGGGAGCGAGGGAGCGAGGGAGCGAGGGAGAAAAGAGTGAGTTGGCGTGTGCGTCGTCCCCCAGAGGTTCGCCGCAGCGAGAGAGAGAGAGAGAAAAAAGAGTGAGTTGGCGTGTGCGTCGTCCCCCAGAGGTTCGCCGCAGCGCGCGCGAGATTTAGCCGCGGAGCGTCGGCGCGCCCTCCGTCCGTCGCGATCCGTCCGGGCGGCCCAACAGCAGCGAAGTGCCGCGAGTGCGGGCCAGTGACCTTGGCGCGGCGGCGGGCCAGCCCGCGCTCCACTGACGCCCGCCCAGATGACAATGCTCCAGTCGCAGAAGCTGTACGGCGAGGGACCCATGAGCAGCGCTGCCATGTCCAACGTTGGCAGCATGGCGCCCACGTACAGCTCGATAAACTCCATGGGCTGCGTCTCGATGGGCATGTCGATGAACTGCAGCCCTCAGAGTCCTGGCGCCTTCAATATGAGCTCCGCAATTGGGATGGCACCGCTCGGCGGCGGTGGGATGCCGGGTTACGGAGGTGCCGTAGCCGGCATGGGGAACGCAGCCTCGTGCATGAGCGGATTGCCGAGCTACGGACCCTTGGCCGCGGGCCCCAACGCCGGCGTCCAGCGCGACGGCCTCGGCCTCGGCGAGCCCGACTCGCCCAACTCGGCCCTTCAGCGCGTGCGTCAGGACAAGTCCTACCGGCGCAGCTACACCCACGCCAAGCCCTCCTATTCCTACATAAGTCTTATCACCATGGCCATACAGAACTCGCCGGCCAAGATGCTCACCCTCTCGGAGATCTACCAGTTCATAATGGACCTCTTCCCGTTTTACCGGCAGAACCAGCAACGCTGGCAGAACTCCATACGTCACTCGCTCAGCTTCAACGACTGCTTCGTCAAGGTGGCGCGCACCCCTGACAAACCCGGTAAGGGCTCCTTCTGGACCCTCCATCCCGACTGTGGCAATATGTTCGAGAACGGCTGTTATCTGCGCCGTCAGAAGCGCTTCAAGGACGAGAAGAAGGAGCTTAATAGACAGAGCAGCAAGCACCAGCAGCATCATTCGCAAGGACCGCCCCCAGGACACGCGAGCCCCGAGCACGTCGGTCTCAAGAAGCAACAGCAGCAGCAGCAACAGCAGCAGCAGCAGCAACAACAACAACAACAACAACAACAACAACAACATCCTCACCATCATCCCCAGCAGCAACAGCAGCAACACCACGTAGGCCAGCAGCAACAGCAGCAGCCCGACGAGAAGGAACTCCACGGGCTGGTCGCATCGCACCAGCAGCACGCTCATCAGCAACACGCGCAGCAGCATCAACAGCATCAGCAGCAGCAACAGCACCCGGACATCGGTGGCCTCCTCGGACCGGAGCTCGGCCCCGCCCACGACGAGCTTGCCGCCATGGTTGGGCGCAGCTTGCATCCACATCTCCTGGCAGACCCGGCCGCCCTCCAACATGGCATGGCCGGCAGCCTAAAGCAGGAGCCCTCGTACGCCCCGGCCAGCCACCCCTTCAGCATCACGAGGCTCCTACCAGGCGCGACGGCCGCCGCGTCGAGCGGCGCCTCCGACACCAAACCACCCGAGCTCAAGATGTACGAGCTTCATCAAGGCTACGGGGGATACGGAGCCGCGCACCACGGGCCTGGACAGCACCACGGCCAGCACAACGGTATGCACGGGCAGCCCAGTGGCCACCAGATGGCCGGCCATCACCAGGACTATTACCAGAGCCCGCTGTATCATCACGCGGGTGTGGCGAGCGGTGGACCGCCAGGGGCCACAGTAACCGGGGCGCCGGGTTTGTGACATCACGCGGCCCACCCGTACGCCTTGGCCTGAGTGGCTGCGGCGGCGGCGCTCGTCCAGCGCTGCTGGCCCCCCGGGCCCCTCGACGACGAGCTCGAGGACTTGGAGGAGGAGGAGGACGAGGGCCCGCTCTTTTGCGAGCGCAAGCCCGCTTATTGTGATAGCCCGAGGAAGGACTGGCGGCCAGCGGAGGCCCGCGACGCCTGTGACGAGTGACTAGTGACTCAAATCTCGGCCCTTTTGTATTATACATGTAGATAGTGGCACGTCGTAACGCGTATCATGCACATCGGCACTATGTGTTTACAGAGGTATCTATCTATCTATCTATCTATCTATCTATCTATCTATCTATCTATCTATCTATCTATCTATCTATCTATCTATCTAATGTATATGTATATGTAATAAATAAATAAATAAATAAATAAATAAATAAATAAATGTGTATATAGATAAATAAATAAATAAATAAATAAATAAACAAATGAATAATTAAATGAATAAATAAATAAGGAGACGCCCGTGTATGTTGGTGGGTGCGAGTACGCGCTTACGCGGGTACCCACGCGTGCGTACCTACGCTCACTCACACGAACGCAAATGCGGGTACATGCATATGCGCGTGGGTGTGCGCGCGTAAGTGCACGTATCCGCGCGCAAATACATACGCGCACGCACGCGCGCACGCACACGAGATGGGAGAGGGAGGGGTGAGGAGGAGGAGGAGGAGGGGGTGGCACACAGGCAAATGGGCGCGCGTGTGTGCTTGCACAAAGGTGTGTACGCGTGGAGAAGCGAAAAAGAATTATAAATAAATGGAAAGTTGGAAGGATATATTATTGATAGGTGCGTATGAAGGAGAAGAGGATGCGATGCGTCTCGTGAAAAGCAATCTTGGCTAGCTCTGCTCGGTGGGCGCCGTTATGTAATGTTGCCGGGATGCTGCTGCTCCGATGCACATGGATCATCAATTTGTGCGAAAGCGTCGTATTTGCAAAATGCCACGCCAGGGTGCTATGCCGTACCGGGCGATACGTTCGCGGCTCCAAAATGCGAGAGCCTACGAATGCATGCGTTTTTGCGTGTTTATGTTGAGTCGCACGTGCGGACGTGCGTGGTTATGTGGTGTGTGGTGTGCGGGAGAGAAAGAGAGAGAGAGAGAGTGAGTGAGTGAGTGAGATAGAGAGAGAGAGAGAGTGAGAGAGAGTGAGAATACATGTGCGAAGGAGCATGTAACTGTAAATAAAAGACACGACTATGTTGCGAGAAATAAAACACTATGACTGTCGTCGCTATTATTATTATTATTATTATTATTATTATTATTATTATTTCTATTATAAATATTACTGCTATTATTACTATTGCAACTGCTGCTATTATTATTTTTTATTTTTATGATTTTTTTTTTTTAATTACATTTATTATTATTATTACAGTCTTCACGACCGTATTCTTATTATAATTGAAATTGTATTATTTCCATTGCAATTATCGCTATTGATGCTATTATTATTATTATTATTATTATTATTATTATTATTATCATGAATTATTATTATCATGAATTATTATTAATTATTATTAATTATTATTATTATTATTATTAATGCGAGGAAAATACCACGACGGTGGTAGTTTGTTTGTCGTTGCACCGAGTGCATCGTGGCCGATAGTTTACCGTTGGCAGGCAATAATTGTAGTCGCGTTGCGTCGACAGGTCACGGGTTTGTACCTCAACGGAGGCTGTCGGGCTTGGAGGGAAATGGAAATGAGCTCGAGAGTTGCTAAATCTCTCGTTTAATGTAAAGAAGGAAAGACTCGGTGCCTGCGACTGTCTTAAATTGGATCTCGACGGAATAGGACGAGGGAGATGCGGACGCCTTGTGCGCGCCTAGGCTGTCGACTCGAAGCTACGGCGTCCGCGCGGCTGAGGACGAGCTTCCTCTTCACGAACTTGTACATGTTTCAATAAACCAACGTATTTCTACGGATGAAAAAATGAAAATCATAATCGCCGTCTTGTTGTTCAATCACTTTCGTGACATTCCCAACACTTTTTCCTTATTCCTTACGCGTCCCGTCGCGGCGCAGCTGCGATGCTCCTTTGTTCACACGGAACACTCACTAATAGCTACCAATTCGTTCCTTTTTTATTCTCTTTTTTTCTTATTCTCTCACTCGGTTTCTTATTCCTTTTATTTTTTTTTTTTTAATTTTATTGTTTTTTTTTTTTATATTTTTTTTTTCGTTAACTTTGGTCTCCGCTGAGACATGTGTAAACAATTCAGGCATGATAATAATACTTTTTGATACCGCATTTAGTTACTAATCGTTAAAATTAACTTTGTTCGAATCCTATTCTCTTTTCCCTCGTGACCTCTTCTCTCCTCTTTTTCCTTTCGTATTTTCCTTCGTTTTTTTCACGGCGAAAATATGTGAAGAAACTTTTTTTTAACAGACATAGATTTTTCGTGTTATCAAAGAACAGCCTTTTCATTATTTGCTTGCGGAGTGATAAGAAAAAAAGATTATTAAGCGAAGCAGAAATATTCCTCTAAAAACTTCTTCGCTTGAAATACATGCTTACAGAACATTACTAAAGTTACTTAAGCACTTAAATAAGCTACGCGTATTTCGTAAAGTAAAACTGAATAATTAAAGAATATCAGAGAGGCGTACAACAGTCAAGCTTTTATTGATATCACATCGCTGTTCCAAACTCTTATTATTTAATTTCTCACGAAAATTTTTTAATATAATTTGTCATCGCAAAGTCTCAGTATATTAATTTCAGTTTAATATATTTTATAGCGGCAATTGTCATTAAATTGTCCTCTGAAAAGCGATATTTATTACAATTCTTATAAAAAAAAAAACAACAACAAATTAAAAATAAAAAAATAAAAAAAAAGTAAACATAAAAATATAAAAAAAATGGAATAAAAAAAAAAAAAAAAAAAAAAAAAAAAAAAAAAAAATAAATAAATAAAAAAAAAATAATAATAATAATAAAGAAGCGTACATGAATATTATATATTCAACGCGAAAAGTTTTCGTTAAATACAGATTCTTAAAATTACAAATTGAAGCAATTAGTAAATGCCTAATTTTACATTTACGCATACAGAATATTGTTAGCCACATCATAAATAAGAGCTAATGAAATTAACGCTCGTAGCAAGTTTTTATCTCGCGTTCTTAAACTCAAATACGTATTTGAAAATATTAATAGTGCATATCCTTCATGTTGAATATTTGAATTGTCAAAAGAAATCAAACTAGGCAAATCAAAGTCAATGTTTTACTGGCCAATAGAATTTACTGGTTAATAAGTATTTGTTCAACAGTCAATTATAATACTGTTTACAAAACTTTTATTATCTATGAAATTTGAAAACTAAACTTAATAAAATGTATATAGACCACTGAGATATATAAATTTTATAATGTGTTTTGTCATGATTAAGCGAGTGATAAGGATTTAAAAGTAAGCTCGTTTTTATATAGACGGTAAAATGCTGTATTAATATTTAAATGAATGATTCTTGTAGTACATGGTTCAGCTTTCTAAATATTTCCCAGTAAACTTTAATTTGAGATTCAAACAAGATTGACAATCAAATAATATGTACATGAAGAAAATATTTATAATTCGTAAATAAATATTGTTTAAGTTAAACTTACATCCTGTTAATTAACACTATATTTGTTAATAACAAATAATAACTCTAAGCAAGTATGTAAGTTTACTATCAATATTTTATGATTCCTTTTTAGTGAATGTGCAAAATACAAATTTAAATACCCAGTTATTTTAAAACAAAATAATTTCATTTCAATCAATTGATAATGGTGTAATTAAGTCAATATATATTTAAAATCCATTATACGTACAAGCTACTTTACATTTAATAGCACAGTTAATATTTTCAAATTCTGTAAGCTTCACGCTCGCAAGTTTCTAATCTAATGCAACGACACTCTTTTGAAATATATTTCCCTAATTGACCGCGAGGTCTTTTTACGGCGAATTGCCTATATTAGCTGTCGAAAATGGCGGTAAGAATATCTGATCGTTCGCTAACTTGATGAATATTATCGAAAACAATGTTAAAAACATTGCAACGAAGGAAAAAAAATGAAATAATAAAAAGTCATAAATCTAAAAATACATCTGATAAATATGACGAGTGAGAAAAGTAGAGCATACATTATTGCATCCACGCACTATCTTACGTAATTGCGAGTGTCTGATTCTTCAGATATATAAAATGAGAATACGTTTCAATTAAATTTTCTAAATTTATGAATATGAGGCTGTCGCAGATACTAGCGGGCACCGAGGCAAATTTTTACATCGAGTTTCATACGTAACACAGAGCATAGAAACTCATAAGACAGCTGTCAAGAACATGATGATCGGACGAAGCTACGGGAACACATGGATTGCTCATGCCTCATCGCGATGAACTCGGTCGCACTTGGGATTTTAATATTGTGATCCGTGGCATCTTGATTAATAACTGATCGACATCTTATCCTATAATTTTACGCATTTGTTACTGCTGCGCCAATATTATACACATTAGTGGCGATTTTAATAGAACTCCATTGTGATTGGAAGAATTTCTTGTTATGCAAAAAAACTTATCGATGAGGTGATTCGTTTCATTTATTCAAAATCGATCCGATGCCACGCGTTACCTAAGGCACAAATTATTTCATAATTATAACATCGCAAAAGGTTGCGTGAGCTATGTCTATGTGACGCTTCTACTTATATTTGTGAATGATAAATAAACGTGAATAAATGAGAGTGGAACTTGAGAAATAAATTTGATTACGAAATAATTTTTATTGTTTGCGCATACGCTCAACCATTATCTACAAAAAAGTCGTTCACGCAATTGTTGCCACTTTCTTTATACTGTGTCGATTGTATAAAATTCTTAATAAACTTAAATAATTAAATCATTTCAAATAAATATCGATGTTAATGAATTATATTCCAAATATTTTCATTAAATTTTAATGCATTTTTCAGTTACATACTTATCATAATTTTTATTTGCATGTTGTGGGCATAAAATATAGTTTACATATTTAAAAAAAAAATTTTTTTATCCATCCTAATAAATAAAAACAACCTTAAAAAATGTTTAATTTAACTACTTACCATATTTTATTAAATAAATTGTTTTATCATATATCACATATTCATAAAAACATTGGGGTACCATTTTTTTTGTTGTTGTACGTATTAATAACAACATTCTTAGTAAACTTTCAATACAATTTGTTCTATTTAGAAAGTTTATAGTTTCAAAATAGATTTTTTTTTTTTTTTTTTTTTTTTTTTTGTCAATTACGATAATAATTTCTCCAGGTGAATATTCTTTGACTTAAATTTGAAAATAGATATTTCAATTTTCAGACTCAAAAGTGCTAATTTTCCTTATAATATATTAGATATTATCAAATGCTGGAATATTTTTAAAATTATAAATAAAAATTGAAGAGTGTTAATTTTCTCTAGAATACATTAAATACTGTTCGATGACTATATTTTTAATACTGAATCTAAGCTATTTAAGATATGTAAAAGCTACTTAATGTTTAGCGAAGAATTTTTTTTTACACTAGAATATCGTGCATTAGAAAGTTTTAACGAATGAATTAATAAATTTCATATAATATCATACATAACATTATAATCAGAATGAACAATGTTAATTAGCTATTCTGATATACAAAATAATTTTCTTTATTTGACAATTGAGTTTTATAAAACTATCTCTACGAGATCATTATTGAAAATGCTTAAAATGTTAAAATTATTTATTTTAATTCATTTATAATAGTATATTTTATTGAATATTGGAAATGCTTTAAGCCCAAAATGTATGGACATAAATTTATCGTAAAATATGTTTGAATAAAGTTGCTTATAACTTTCAAAGTGATATTGTACTGACTATTCCAAATACATTATGAATAATTGAATTATTTTAAATATAATTAATAGATAATTACAATATTAATTATTAATATTAATGACGAGCAGATAATTATAATATGGTCTTTCATGGTATTTATAATATGAAGTGAGAATTATTCTTAATGCAGTAGATTGTGAGCTAATAATACTATTCTCCAAAATAGTATTAATTCCCTGTAATATATTATTTTACTTCGTAATGAAATCAATGTTTGTTAAGAAAATGTACTACTTTTTTCATTGTAAAAATTTTATTATTAATTTCATTGAAAAATATGTCACACTGTGAGAGATATAAAATCATTTAATATTTTTATAATGTATTTTCGGTAACAAGATAAATAGATGGGAAGAAAATTATTATTACTATCAATAAATATTATCTTTATTTAAATAAATATTTGTTTATATACTTAACCTACGGTATTTGGTGGTTAGGTTAATATATTATAATTATAAATGTGGTAGTTATAAATTTTGACAAATTCTCATGCCGATTACTAAGTTTATTTATAGATACGATTGTTCGTGAATATTTTATTTTATCAAGGAAAATTTATATTGATTAAAAGCAACGCAAATAGTATATCAGCCACAAGTTATTTCCTGTAATATTATGCTTATACCACTATACCGCTACTATTCTTTGTATAATTTTATAATACATGAATACAATAACGTATAAAGGTAAGTAATTCTAAAGTATAATATGCCTGTAAATTCAAGGCAGCAAAATAGATAAAGTTTTTAATGCTGAAAATATG